GTGGGAGAGGCGGCGGCGGCGGTGGGCGAGGTGGTGGGAGAGGCGGCGGTGACCAGCGGCGGCGGCGGACCGAAAGGAGGGCGGCGGCGGCGGCTGGTGACGGCGGCGGGGAGTAGCGGCGGCGGCGGCGCGTGGAGGCGCGGCGGCGGCGGCTATTAGGGTTAGGATCGTGCTGCGATAGATACCATGTAGAAGGACAAGATATGGGCTGTGCAATCTCGATGTATTGATCGGTGCACCAGTCACGTATATATAAGTACAGAGGTGGGCCATAACCTCAACTATACAAAGAAACAGGAGGTGAGTCCTACACACAAATATACACGTACACAACATACTCAACAGTTCGCCATGTTGAAGCTCGTGTCGACGTTCGGGTTCTGGTGGGTGGTGCGGGTCTACGGCGTGCCGCTGATGATCGTGAACGCGTGGCTGGTCCTGGTCACCTACCTGCACCACACCCATCCGGCGCTGCCGCACTACGACTCGACGGAGTGGGACTGGCTGCGGGGGGCGCTCGCCACCATGGACCGCGACTACGGCATCCTCAACCGCGTGTTCCACAACATCACGGACACGCACATCTTGCACCACCTATTCTCCAACATACCGCACTACCACGCCATGGAGGCCACCAAGGCGATCAAGCCCATCCTCGGCGAGTACTATCAGTTAGACGCCACCCCCCTCGCTAAGGCCACATGGCGCGAGGCCAAGGAGTGCCTGTACATCGAGCGCGAGGACAGCAAGGGGATCTTCTGGTACAGCAACAAGTTCTAGCCGCCAGGATCCATCAACCGTGCTGCAGGAAGAACTCAGGAAGAGATCCAGGGCATTTGGGCGGAAGGAAGACTATTACCGTGGTTTTGCTCAGTTCCATCTTTACCTTTTTCTCTGTGATTTAGTCGCCGGACATGGTTTGGCCGGCGGTCGTCCTTGGTGTCCGTGGCCATTGACATGGCCGTATGTTGTGTGTGCGTCTGTCATCTCCCCGTCCATGCATGTCGTGTTGCTGTAAACCAATAAACCATTTCGTGTTTATGTCGGATTTTTCATAGTACACCGGTTCTTTTCCATGGCTTTCGCTTTTGCGCACCGCACCATGCGGCACAATAATAGTTGGCCAACATATGCCTCATTAGCAAAACTAAATATTTATGTTGATACTTCCTCCATTCCTAAATATTTGTCTTTCTCGAAATGTTCTTGCTAGCCATTGTGTGATTTTGCAAGTCTCTCTAATCAAAATTAAACTAACGGTAAGCTTTGATTAGTGATTTAGTGAGAAAATGTTCCAGTGGAATATGATGATAGTAAAAATTATGGGTTCTCTTAGATTTCCCCCTTCATATAGCTCACTTGGAATATCTTAGATATATGATATAGCTCACTTTAAAGTATCTTAGATATAATATATGAACATATTAAACACTTCTATATTTCTTTACAGACGGAGTAGTATATATAATATCACATGACAATACATGAGATGTGAGTGTAACCGCACCCGGTTGTAAGACTCCTCTTTTATACTCCTAGGAGTATGTACTTCCATCGTTAGTGAATGTGCTGGACGGGGTGACTATCTTCTGTATTTAAATAGCTAGCTCCACTAATCTACTTATCTCAACATGAATGGGAAAAGATCCACCTCAATGTACAACTATCTATAAAAAAACCACCTCAACATGTACAACTATCTATAAAAAATCACCTCAACATGCAAACATGCATGCCATTTTCATTCTATTATGATGTTTATATTATACAATAATCAAACACAAAAATCATATGAATATCAGTTTTAATTGTTATATTATTACTCAAAATTTTCATATTAAATGCAACACTATGAATATATTGCAACACATTTTCACAACAACATGCCAAGTATCATCTAGTATTCAATAGAGTGAAAACTATGATGCAAATTAGTAAATAATTTAACTTTTTTAGGAAAAGCCATCATGGCTAGCTTTATTAACTTAGAAAGGAATTACATCATCCACAAGGTTTAAGACAAGACAGCCTGGGGGCTCGTCCGTCCAACTAATCTAACTACTTGCTACGAGTGCATACCTCCTTCCTAGAAATCAGAAAAGCTTGGATGTTATCTACGTTTTGTACTGCACAGTTCACGTTTCCCCCCTTCCATGCAGTATATGTTCCGTCGAGAGTAGTATAAGTAGCTTTTTTTTCGATGCCACTGGGTCTGAAACTTTGAACATACACTAATGCTTTTTAGTGGGATTACTTGCAACCAAGGAGGATACAATGTTATACAATATTTTTATGTGTCAGGAGACTTAGCCCACAAAAAGCGAATTGTGCTGTATTTGTACTACTTTGAGGTGAGGTATATAGTAGGAGTACTTAGAAACTAAAAGAGTATATACCTTCTTTTTACACAATGGGTATTTTTTTCCTGGTGAGTATATATACATTTTCTGTGAGTGAGTATATACACATTTTCTGGTGAGTGAGTATATATGTTTGTCTGTGAGACGGTATATAACTCTTGTCGTGGTTTTAGTTCAAAATTTTAACCTAAAACCATGACAAAAATTATGAAACGGAGGGAGTAATATTTTTTTGAGTCCTTATATAGACAGAGGTGCCTTTGGCCTTTTCGCAAAAAGGGTCTATTATAGGAGTTTATCTGTAACCTAGTAAGGGCATCTCCAACGCCGACCCTCAAACCGCCCGCATACGTCCGGACCAGACGTGTTTTGCCAACCAATGCGATCCTGTATTGGTTTGTAGGCCAGTATGGAGGAGCTTTT